ATATATATATAAACACAGGGGAAAAACTGTACATCAGGTTTCATTTATTACTAGTCATTTGAACTAAAGCTGATCTTCACCCAGGTCAAAGTACCTGTCACAGCCTGTTAAAATGTATAGTTTTCTCATTAGTTGACTTTTGAAGTTCAAACCTCATAAAGTTTAAACTTTAAATCAAGTGTGACTCTGGTCCAGATATAAATAAAACTTGAATGTATCTCATTAACATTCTGAACACTTTCTGACCCTAACAGTGCTAGTCTCACCTTGTCGTGCATCCATAAAGCATTCTTAAACACTTTTTAGTTGCCCTTTATGTTTCAGCAGGCTGAAGGCCAGCACAAGTCCTACCTGACGGAGAGCGGCAGATAGACAGGGAGGGGTGTTGGAACAGAGGCGGAAATGAGGTCTGGGCCGTACATCTTTTCTCAGTGGTGGCAGTAGCTGAGCGCACAGCGGTGGGTGTCTGCCGCTGAGCTGTAGGTGAGAATCAGGAGGTGTTTGTTGCCACAGTTCACAAGCAGGGCCCCTTAACAACCTCGTTTGATGTGGATGGCCCCTGTCGGCGGCTGGCTCTTAGTGCTGGTGTGACAGTCATTGCCGGGTGAGTGACTGTCAATGCCCGACCAACAAAAGGGGAGAAGACAGCCATTCATGGGGCCCTATAATGGCTAGGCCAGGACAAGGTTGTCTTTCTCACCCACTTTGATCATGTGTATTCTTTTGCACACCTTTGTAGGGGCTTCATATTTGTTTAAAAGATCCAAAAGGGCTGTTTTTGAAGCTGCATCACCTGGCCAAGGTATCTTAATGGACATACTTTTCTGTAAGATTCGTGTATGGCTAAATACCTTTGACATGGAAATGTCAGTGCATGTTACCCCGTCATGTGGTATTATGCACCTGCATCACATAGATCAACATCCCATGTATAGAAAATACTACCTCTATAGTGGCTCACATGCAGGCAGTTTCATCACTGATCTGATTTCAATGATGCAAGACCATCTTCTACATCTGCTGAGCTACAAAGCATTTTTTATCCTATGTCTGCATCCGTGTGCTTTTTTTAGACCAGATTATCTGTGCACAGGTGTGACATCTTTCCTGACAACTTACATTTTTTATCAGTTCCTATCAGATGCTTGGATACTAACTTGTACAGTCTTTCAAAACTCTTTGCACCATCAGAGATACACATCACAAAACTGCTGACATTGAACAATGGTCAAAAAGCAGGATATGCAAATACAAGTCCTAGTTAAAGCTTGCACAGTTAAATTAGATCTATCTGGATGTTTATCATCCAATCACAACTCAGATATATCAATTGGGTCTGAACTGATCAAACAAATATGAATCCCAAAATGATGAACTGTCACTGAAATCCAAACGTTATTTGGCTCATATATGTGACAACTACTGCTGTGCATGTAGTTATAAACTTATTTAAGCAAGAAAAACAACCCGATTCACAAAGTAGCAAAATGCAGGGACATTAAAAAGTACTTGGCTATGAGTGAATAGCTAAAACACAAGAGAAAAAGCAAGACATAGAATTTATCAGGAAGTGAAAACTATTAATAATAGGGAGCTTTTACCAGGGGATTGTTCGTGCTAGAAAGGAGGTCAGGTTTCAGATTCTTTTGAAGACTTTGATGGTACAAAACAGGCTTCATTATAGAGATATTATCTCTATTCAGATACTTACAGAGCTGCTTCGATCCCCGCTGGGAAAGATTAGGTTCCTCAACTTGAGAACATCCTCCTTGGGTGCAGAGAGCTGTTATGTGTTCACAGCACACCCATACAGAGTTCAATGCAACACAGCTCAACTCTAATCATTGGAAACAGATTGGGCATAATCCATTGATTTCTTTAAGGGGTCATGCTGTTAGTCCACAGTGGAACTGACAAAAACAAATATACTTTTTTTTT